AAGTAGCTTCCAAATAACCAAGTCTGATTCATTCCAGGGATGCAAGGATGCTTTAACATCTACAAATCAATCAATGTGATATGCCACATTAACAAAATAAAGGATAAAAATCATATGATGACCTCAATAATGCAGAAAAAGCATTTGACAAAATTCAACATCCACTAATGATAAAAACTCTCAACAAAAAGGGTATGGAGGAAACATACATCAATATAATAAAAGCCATATATGACAAACCCACAACTAATATCATACTCAATGGTAAAAAGCTGAAAGCATTTCCTCTAAGATCAGGAACAAGACAAGAATGCCCACTCTCACTACCTTTATTCAACATAGTATTGGAAGTACTAGCCACAGCAATTAGGCAAGAAAGAAATAAAAGGCACCCAAATTGGAAAGGAAGAAGTAAAACTGTCACTATTTGCAGATGACATAATACTTTATAGAGAAAACCCTAAAAACTCCACAAAAAACTATTAGACTAACAGATTCAGTAAAGTCGCAGGAAACAAAATTAATATACAGAAATCTATTGCATTTCTGCACACCAATAGTGAAATAGTAGAAAAAGAAATTAAGAAAACAATCTCATTGACAATCACATGAAAAAGTATAATATACCTAGGAATAAATTTAACCAAGGAGGTGAAAGACCTGTACTCTGAAAACTATAAGACATTTATGAAAGAAATTGAAGACACAAATAAATGAAAAGATATAAAGTGCTCATGGATTAGAAGAATCAATATTATTAAAATGCCCATACCACCCAAAGCAATCTACAGATTGAATGCAACATCTATCAAAATACCAATGGCATTTTTCACATAAATAAAACAAATAATCCTAAAATTTGTATGGAAGACAAAAGACCCTGCACAGCCAAAGCAATTTTGAGAAAGAACAAAGCTAAAGCTCCCTGATTTCAAACTATACTGCAAAGCTAGTAATTAAAAGAGTATGGTACTGGCACAAAAATGGACATGTAGATCAATGGAACAGAATGAGAGCCCAAAAATAAATTCACATTTATATGGTCAATTAATCTATGACAAGGAAAGCAAGAACATAAAATGGAGAAAAGACAGTCTCTTCAATAAAATGGCACTGGGAAAACTCAATGGCTACATGCAGAAGAATGAAACTGGACCACTTTCTTACACTATACACAAAAATAACCTCAAAAAAGGACTTAAATTTGAGACCTGAAACCATAAAATTCCTAGAAAAAAATAGGCAGTAAGCTCTTTAACATCAGTCTGAGCATATTGTTCAAAGATATGTCTCCTCAGGCAAGGGCAACAAAAGCAAACTGTACAAAGGAAACTACATAGAACTAAAAAAATTTATACCATGAATGAAACTATCAACAAAACAAAAAGGCAACCCACTGAATGGAAAAAGACACTTGCAAATGATATACACGAAAAGGGGTCGATATCGAAAATATACAAAAACCCATACAACTCAATAACAAACAAAACAAAAAACTTTAAACAAATAAACAACCTGAGTAAAAAATAGGCAGAAAACCTGGATAGACATTTTTCCAAAGAAGACATACAGATGGCCAACAGACACATGAAAAGATGCTCAATGTCACTCATCATTAGGGAAATGCACATCAAAACTACAATGAGATACCACTTCATACCTGTCAGAATAACTTATTCAAAAAGATAAGAAATAACAAGTGTTGGTGAGGATATGGAGAAAAGGGAACCCTCATGTACCATTGGTGAGAATGTAAATTGGTGTATCCACTATGAAAAACAGTATGGAAGTCCCTCAAAAAATTCAAAATAGAACTACCATATAATTCAGCAATTCCACTTCTGAATATTTATTCAAAGAAAACAAAAACACTAAGTTAAAAAGATGTATGTACCACTATGTTCATTGCAGCATTATTTACAATAGCCAAGATACAGAACAATTTAAGTGTCCATCAATAGATGAATGGATAAAGATGTGAGGTGTGCATATGTATGAGTGTATAAAATGGAATATTAGTCAGCCATAAAAAAGAACAAAATTTTGCCATTTGTGACAACATAGATGGACCTAGAAGCTAAAGATTAAGTGAAATAAGTCAGAGAGAAAGACAAATAGTGTGTGATTTGATTTATATGTAGAATCTAAAAAATCAAACAAAACAGACACAGATTCATAGTTTCAGAGAATAAACTGGTTGTTTTGAGAAGGGAGGAGGTTAGGAGGATGGGGAAAATAGGTGAAGAGGATTAAGAGATACAAACTTCTAGTTATAAAATAAATAAGTCACAGGAATGTAATGTACAGCATAGGGAATATAGTCAATAATATTGAAATAACTCCATATGATGACAGACAGTAACTAGACCTATTGTGGTGATCATTTTTTATAATGTATAAAAATATCAATCACTGTGTTATATACCTGAAACATATATAATACTGTATGTCAATTATAATTCAATAAAAATAATTAAGAATTAAAAACAAAATAATTCATAAACTAAATTAACAAAAAGAAAGAAAATTTGATTACTTCAGCTGAGTCTAAATTCTAAGCAACTAGATGGAGGTTCATGATCACTAAACAGTTTTTTTTTTAAAACTGAAATTTTCTTCACAAAAAGAGGTCACTGGTCAAAAGAGTCACTTATCTATCTCATCCTTATTCATTTGGGCAGAAAGGATCACAAAATAAAAGAGACTTCAATAGAGAGAAAGAGAGAACCATTTTAGCCACCACCCAGGGCACATGCATATACAGATCAGTAACTATTTGCTGTATAAGCCTTTTTCAGTAAATCTGCATTTTATTGGGGGTAATCATCAATGTAAGTAGGTAATTTTATTATCATCTTATTTTCATCTACACACTCCTCAAAGCATATTATCCGGGTGATGTTCTCAGTTCCCCACTTCAGCTATCACACGGATTCTCATTCTTAACTTAACAAAAGTCAGGCACAGTAAAGGGTTCATTATCAATATCCTCAGGGCTTCTATTGACTTGGTCATAACCTAATTATGTGGCTAACATTTGTTTGGATGTGTCATAAGATTCTTAATGTCTGATCATTTTTAAATACACATGGTAACTTATTTATAATGCTGATTAAGGGATACATAGGAAATGCTGAGACTTGTGAATACATAGGAAAACCCATGCTCTATGTAATAAATCACATATAAAGAACCTCAAGGAAGATGATTAGATGTTTAAACTGTTAAATGCTTAAGACATAGCTCCCCAAACATATCAGTACACAACCCTGAAGTGAACCCTTCCCCATTAGGAACCGGCACCCTAGATAGTAGTTTTAGTAGATCCCTACACAATACCTAATATCATTTTTCATAATGTATCCTACATTAGAATATAAGCAGAAATCACAGAAACAGCAAGATAAAAGACTATGTGACAAGGTAAATTGCAAACAACATAACTTTGAAATAACTTTCCTGAGATTATTTGAAAACATAATCAATATGAGCATATTTGACTCTGCTTTAAAATGAGAAGTAAAGTGAGAAACAATTTACCAGATTAAACACTCTGAAATATTCATACTTTGTTAGAATAAAAATACACACACAAAAAGCCACTCACCACCACAAATGATACTGTCTACGTAGCACTTGATGCTTTGCCAAGCATGTTTCCGTACCTCATCATATCTGAACTAGATGGTATCCATGTGAAGTGTTTTCATAGTGCCATAAGAAGGATAACTTTGTAGAGAAGTGCACTTTTAGCTAACAGGCTTTGGGGCATGTTCTGTCAAGCAGAGAAATTTCCAAGTCAGCATCAGCTCTTCTTCTATTCAGCATGACCTGTTACTAAATGCTGTTAGTTCTAGCCCCATAGTACTTGGTGAATTTGTCCCCCCCTTTTCCATTTCCTCCTTTAGAGAATGAAAGAACAATGAGGCAGGGAGTTTATCAGTCTGCTACCAGCATATTCTCATACCCAGAATAGTGCCTGACAGGTAGAAGTGATCAACAAATACTTTCAAACAAATGAATGAATTCCCATAGCCCCACATTACCCTATTTCCTCAAAACTCCCCCACCCTCGATCTCTATGGAACCTCCTAATTGGTATTATGAACAAGATTTTCTATTCTCACATGTACCTTATACATGGCTGCTTAACTGATTACACACCAATGGTTTTACTCCTTAGATTAAAGCATTCATATTTCTTTTTATTATTACAAACTCCTCATCCTGGCATTTAAAGTCTTCCATCTTTCAAGATCCCAGCCTTCAGTTTCAACATAAGATCCCTTGTATCATTCCTGTCACGCCTAGGACCATCTTGCCTATTCGTCTCTGCTCATGCAGGTCCCCTGGCCCACAATGGCTGTAGCCACCATATTTACCTATTGAAATACCACCAGTCCTTCAGTATTATGTGAAATGCTACTTCATTCAAGATGTACTAATCAGATGCCATCACTTTGTCTCATGCAAATCTCTTATTCTGTCTTGTAATAGTTACATACAGAGCCATGTCTTTTCTTCAGTATTCTAAGCTCCAGAAGGTCAACAACTATGTCTTACGTAGCTTTGACTCTAAAGTACCTACCACATGTAGTAAATGGTCAATACAAATTAGCTAAATTGAAGTGATTCTAAAAGGTAGGTTATAGGATCAAGAAATATCCACCTCCTTGAACATACGGTGAAGAAAGCGGAGGATGGATACAGAGCTCCAAAATTTGGGGTTTGAGCTCTGCCTTTTACAAGATGATTAACTCGGGCAAGATTTTAATTTTTCCCTTTAGCCTGCCTGAAGCTCAGTTTCCTTATCTATAAAATGATGATACTTGTATTATCTACTGTACAGGGTTATCATTCAGACTGAAATAGAAAAAATGGAAGTGATAATGCTTTGTAAACTTTAAAGTGTTATAAAGATTCAGTTTTCTTTCTTTCTTTCTTTCTTTCTTTTTTTTTTTTTTCAAATCACACACCATGGACCTTGTTGGCTGAATAAGAAACGAAAGCTATTTGGTAACTGTGAGTCTTTTCCTGTCATACCTGGTGGAGAGTGAGGAAGAGGTAGGACTAAGAAGAAGGGAGAAGGAGAGCATTCTTCTTCTGCCAGCAGTCTGATCACCCAGCCTGAGGAAAATTAGCTTTGAACATCTTCTAACATTAATAAACAGCCAAGTCACTAAATTGCTATGGGACAGCATTTAGGAAAAAAAAAATTCCCTGTGATAAATGATTTTGAGATTTACAGTTTATCATACATTTAGTGTAGTAAGCTGACAAAGCAGCTTTAAAAACATCACCAAGGTTTTGTTTTCCTCCTCTGCTTCCTCCTGTGTATTTTCTCTTTGCTAAATTCATTAAAAAAAAAATGAGAAAATACTTCCTTGGAAAGACTGTAATTCTACTCTGTGATCATATCCTTGTCTATGGATATCCCTCGTCTGAAACTCAACACAAATGGCTGTGTGTGAAGAAAGAAGAGGAGGAAACAGCACCAGGAACTGGCCTGCATGGTTGGAGTAGTCCTGCCCCCGGGGAAGGCTGTCCCCCAGGCCACTTTCTGCTTCAGACAGCCCCGATCTGAGAGACGAGCTGGATGCAGGTTATGTTATCTGAGAACCCTGGACAAATGTGGTTCATTGTGATGTAATCTGATTTTAGAAGGGCTTACGCAATTCGCATTCCTTGTCAGAGGCTTTCCCACATTTCTGGATAGCTGATTCCATTTTAATAATTTTTTTTTAAGCACAGGGAAGGAGCAAACATCAGTCCATTATCTGAGAAAATATAACAGCTACCTCTTTGGAGTGAGGGCTGGGTTATGAATCAGTGTTGTTCTGTTTCTTCATTTCATTTATGTGCAGGTTTACTAGACACTCTGGACTGGTTTGAAACCTCCCAATGACGTCAATGGGGCAGAGAAATTGGAGCAGCGGAGACAGCTGCAATGCACCAAGTCTACTGAGGTTTTATTCTTTTCTCCCAGGGTGACATCTGAGACAGATATTATCAATCAAGCCCTCCTGGCTCAGCATCAAATCAAAGGCACTTTATCATTCAAAGCAGTAAAAGCTGCAATTAGATGATCTGCTCAGCTTTTTCCCTAGGAATATCTTGTTCATTACAATTAATAATGCAATTAAAACTTAGAGAAAAGAATGCTTACTAAAATATTTAAATATTGACATTTTCCTTCACTGTTTAATTGTCAAATTATTAAAGATCACTCTTTACATATATTTTGTATAAAAAATTCAAAACAATCAAATTACTGCCTCTCTTGAAATACTAATAAAAAGGAAATGGTAACTTTAACCAGTTTCCAAGAACTGTCCAAATATCCAGGAAAAAAATACATATATAGCAAAGCTTTATTATTATTTAGAAAACAACAAACAACAAACAACAACAAAAGGCAGGGAACTAGTGCTCCGTGAATTAACATTTCTTCTTAACAACACTCAAAGCCAAAAAGAGGAAAGCAGAGCCTACTGCTTTTTTGTTTGTTAAGCACAACGTATTATTTACTGACTCTTCAAGCATCCTTCTTAGGAATAGTCTTACTTGCCTGAGTATATAATAGCATATTAAAATCTGAAAAAAAAATATAGCACTTAATCTAATTATACAGTTTTAAAGAAAGGTCTCTGCTCTGTCTCTTCTCTTCTCTCTCTTTCTCTATCTTTCTTTTTTTTAAGGGGGAGACTTTAAACTTCTAAAAATTCCCACAACTAATCATAACAAATCTAACTAATAAATATCCTTAAAATGGGTTTTTGTTTTCAAAGTTACCTAGGAGACCCAAGCATAGACTACTCTCACCAGAGTAAAGAATATGAAGAATACTTTCTTGCCTCTCCCTGCCTTCTACAGTGTTTGTTGGCAAACAATGCTGGTGATAAAATAAACATAAAGCGGAGGAGAGAGAAATCTGGGGGTAAAAATAAAGGAGAAAATACCAACATCAATCTCAAGGCTATGTGGCCAAACTGAATAGGATCCAAAACCATTTAGTCTAGAAAATCAAACTGGCCAAGAACAAGAAATAAAGAAAACAATACTCTTCAACAATTGTCTATTATCCACAAAGCAGCATCTATGTTATTACATCAGGTAATATTATATATGATGTATATTGTTGTAACTTAATAACAGATTCCAAAAATAGGAAGAGCTATGATGCAGGAGACTTACTTTTTCAATGAGGAATAAATGAAAGAACTAAAAGTTTAGGTTAGCTAGAGTAACAAACATTTTGCCAATCAGCCATGTTTACCCAAGGTAGGGTATTGAACATGCTCTTTATTATTTGGATTTAAACAGTAAGATTCTTTTTTCTACCCCCTTTCATTCATTTAGCTGTGAAACAGACAATAAATCATAGCTAAAGCTACCAAATATCTTCTACATTATTTACAAAGCTGAAATTCCTAACTGATCCAACCCTAAAGTTTTTCCAGCCACTGGACTCATCTTTCCTTTATCCATTCCCTTTGGTCCATATAATGGTAATAATGTGTTGTATCCCAGCTCCCAGAGAAATCAGGTATATATCTTTGCATTACTCTGAATCTGCAAAATGATAATGAAATGAAAAGACACATGAACAACCACCTTGTAGATGCTCTAAATGTGATAGATATTATTTTAGATGTTTGCTTAAAAATGTGTATCATTGTGCTTTGGTGCCAAGTACTATGCTACGCAGTGGGAACACACACACAAGTAAATCATATGAAATCCACAGAGTAAACCAAGCCAGCAACTTGAGAATCATTCTTCCCTCCCACATCTAATCATCACTACCAGTACCCATAAAAGCAAAGTAAGGCTCCCTTTCACAGCTGTGTGAAATCTGTCTTATCAGCCAGTGGTCAGTGGTCTGCCAAACCTTGCCATACGGGTCATAAACAAGCAAGTAACAGCTCAGGTAGGTAACCAGCCCAGACCTTTTACCTTTCTTGAATTAGTTTCCTCTTCATCTGGCCAGAGATGACCTAGTTTATGTCATCTTCGTCTCTTTCCTAGATTACTCCAACAGACTCCTAACCAGTTCCCTTGCTTTGAACTTTACCGATAATATCGCACTTTTATTTTTTTCCAAAGATTTTCTTTATTTTAGAGAAAGAGAGTGCATGAGTGAGCGGAGGAGTAGTGGGAGAGAAAGTGGAGAAGCAGACTCCCCGCTGAACAGGGAGCCCTACAAGGGGCTTGATCTCAGGACCTGAGATCATGACCTGAGCCAAAACCAATAGTCAGATGCTTAACCAACTGAGCCACCCAGGCACCCCAAGATCATACTTTTAAATGATAAATCTGGCCATGCCATTCCCTACTTAAAAGCCTTCATGACTTCTCAAAGCTTTTATGAAAAAAATCTCTTTCTCAGCATGTCACAACAGATCCTGTATGATAGGTGGCTTGACTACCTCTCTAACCCTATCTTCTTGATGGGTCCAGAAGTACCCACTCACGTTGCTCAGTTTCCCAAGCTCACTGTACTGTTCCACATTTTCATATATTTTCTGCCCTTTAGCTCCACCTGCACTTCATAATTCCCACTAACACATGCTTTTATTATGATAGACACATAATTGCAGCACATTTATCACACACAGATCTGCTTCCTCCCTACTTGAGTGTGAGCTCCTGAAGAGTACGGTTCACTTCTGTTTCCCTCAGCCAGGCCCAGAATGGCATTGTGTTTTTGAGAAATGACAAAGGAATCAATGAACATTGGTATCTATTATTTCAGTTGATCTACCTTACAAAAGAGATTTTAGAATCCTTTCTGTGGGACAGAAATGGATCTTCAGACGGTCTCTTGGGCAGTCAGACCCCATTTCCTCTCCCCCACCTCCAGACTTGTTTCAATTGGGAATCAGCCCTGCATCCTCGAGCAATGAGAGAGGATACTAGAAGTTCCAGAATCAGGGTTAGAGAGAGGCATTTAAAATCCACACATTGTGAGGGTTCCCAGTTCTTCTAAGGGGTGCATAGCTGACCATTTCAATCCAAAAATTGTAGTGAAGCCAGAGATAAGAGCCTACATCAACCCATGCAGGAAGTTGATTAATCATTTACTGACAACTACACTTGTCCAAATGACCTGAGCATCCTGGATTGTTTACTCATTCATTCAACAAATATTGATTGACAACTGTGTCATCCTAGACATTGCAAATTTAATGGTGAGCAAACAGGTTAGCTTGTACTTAGCTTTTTTTTTTTTCCTCTTCCATACATTTTTGGTATGTGAGCAGCCCATGAAGAACGGCCCCTTTTGTCAAAAGGTAGAATCTCATTCTCCATGCCATACTACTGGGTCTTCTCCATGTAATTCCTGTCTCTGTGTGCAGTCTCTATCATCATTTGTATTCTGTGTTCCAACCCGCCTCGTGCAGTCCCACTATCCATTGCAAGACAGAAGGGGAAAGAATCACTGCTCTCTAAGCATGTACAGGCACCTAGATAGTCTAGCATTGGCCACCCACAATTTGATGGTGCTTTGATGTTAACAAAGAAATATCTGAGTGAGTTGCCCTAGTAAGGTTGGCGAACACTAATGAATCAGTGGCTCTGAATTAATCAAAGCAGTGAAACGTGAAGGTGGATTTTTTTTCTGACAGATGATTGACCTGCAGAGACCAGATATTAAGCATATATGCTTCATTATCCAGATTTAATTTTAAGGTCCTTGGGGGTCTTTGCCTTTTTACATCAGTTTCAGCACACACTATAACTTATATAGTGCCTTCTTGCCCACGGTATGGGTGCCATAAAAATTTGTGGATTGTTGTTTTCATAAGCAACCAAAATATTTTTTTTGTCAAGAGGACCAAATATTTCTAAGTAAACTAGAAAATAAATATGATTTTTCTGTTTATAAGGCCACAAAAAATTAAATGTAGTCATTAAATAAAATTTAAATATTTTTATAATAATAAGAACATTTAAAACCCTGTCATTAGCAGTCAAAAAATCAGTACTTACACAATTGGCTTTATCATGTGGTATGAAGAGCAAGACTTTTAGAATCATACAGACCCAAGTTTGTATTCAGAATCTGTTCAGAGGGCGCCTGGGTGGCTCAGTTGGTTAAGCGACTGCCTTCAGCTCAGGTCATGATCCTGGAGTCCCGGGATCGAGTCCCACATCGGGCTCCCTGCTCAGCAGGGAGTCTGCTTCTCCCTCTGACCCTCCTCCCTTCATGCTCTCTCTCATTCTCTCTCTCGCAAATAAATAAAATCTTTAAAAAAAAAATTTTAAGAATCTGTTCAATATTTGTTCACAAAAATGAGTAAAATGATTACACTTAAACCCAGTTTATAATCCATTTTACAGGGATTATAATACTTAACTAATAGGTTGTTATGAAGAATAAATGATTGTGTATAAAGTGCCTTAAACTGGCATAGAGTAGGTATTTAATATTTTTAAATGATATATTTTCATCTATTTTGAGGTTTTTATGGAGGGAAGAGGAAAATTTTACATGGTAATTCCAGAATATGTCACCAATCATGAGCTCTTTCAAGTAATATGTAAGGGAATAAAAGGTACATCTATAATCTCTTCCTTTTACTGTCTTTTTTTTCTTTAAGCAATGGTAGGCACTCTGATGAGACTTTACAGTATTTTTAAGTGTGAACTATAATTCCGATTCTAGGACTTGTCCTTTGTATCTTAGAAAGTGATTTTTGACTATGTGACTGAAATTTTTGTGTTTCACAGCAACATATTTACCCAAGCCTGTGATAAATCTTCCAAATCTTTATTTCCTGAACCATCATGGCACTCTACCTTTAAGAATGCCCACAGGGTATTCTTGTTGCTTACTTGAAATCAACACTGAGGGTCTATACTAAATATCTTTAAATGGGGTTTAATTTATTTTTATTTATTTTAGAGGGAGAGGTGGGGGAGGGGCAAAGGGAGAGGGAGAAAGAATCTCCAGCAGATTCCCTGCTAAGTGTGAAGCCTGACACAGGGCTCAGTCTCATGACTCTGAGATCACGACCTGAGCCAAAATCAAGAGTTGGATGCTTAACTGACTGAGCCACTCAGGCGCCCCTCTCGTTGTGGTTTTGATTTGCATTTCGCTGCTGATGAGCATCTTTTCAATTGTCTGTTGGCCATCATTGGAAAAATGTCTACTGGGGTGTCAACTATACTCAAAAAAAAAAAAAAACCCCACAGTTTTTTTAAAATAAAATAATAAAAAATAAATAAAATGCAGTTTTATTTTATTGCAAAGAAAAAATGATTAATTGTGAGGTTAGCTATAATTAGTATGTTTCTTTGCATACCATCCACACTCAAGTTTGGATAATACATAAATTCAAGAAAAATTTTGCTAGACATAGAACTATTTTATGTGAATTGTTTTACTAAGAGCTGATTCAGTAGGCCTGGTAACTCAAAAGCTAACTTTTAATTAGTTGATGTAAATAGTCTTGATAGAAATATTAATTTTATGACTTGATTATCTTTTAAAATGCTTAATTTCATCTGTGCTAGAATCATCTAGATAATTTGAGGAGTATAGTTATTTTTCTTCAATCTTCCAATTAACAGAAGAAAATTAAATTACTGTGTTGCTGTAAGAAGGAAGTCTTAGACATCAGACTAACTTACTGTGATTGGCACAAGAGAGCTTACTACAGGGAGCTGCAATTTAAGGGAGGTAATATTCCAAGAATGGAAGTTGCTGCAGCTTTTAGACAGTGCCCACACCCCACAGCAGGATGACACCTGTGGTTTTGTGTGTGGGACCCTGTCAGGTCATTATCCATCAGATTAGCTGTCTGCTTCTCTGTCCGTGACCTCCAATCATCAAATTTTTCTTTGTTCTCTCTTCAGACTGGAAAACCTTGCCTTTGTTTCATTCAACTACGCAGTGAAAGAAGCTACCTTTTTACAGAGAGGAAATTCTTAGGAGCAAGCTAACATCCCTTCTTGCAATCAACTTGCAGGGTAATTTTAGGTCTTCTACTGCTCTGTACCTCAGTGATCTGATGGTCTGTACCATCTTTGTTTAACAAGCTTATATTACTACATACTACGTAGCTTCTAATATTGAATAAGAGTATGTGTTCCTGGGGCGCCTGGGTGGCTCAGTCGTTAAGCGTCTGCCTTCGGCTCAGGTCCTGGTCCCAGGGTCCTGGGATCGAGCCCCGCGTCGGGCTCCCCGCTCCACGGGAAGCCTGCTTCTCCCTCTCCCACTCCCCCTGCTTGTGTTCCCTCTCTTGCTGTATCTCTCTCTGTCAAATAAATAAAATCTTTAAAAAAAAAAAAAAAGAAGAGTATGTGTTCCTTGTTGGTCTTTTCTTTCCTGGAAACAAACAAACAAACAAACAAACTTTGCTTGACTTTTCAAGGAAATAATTTCATGAGAAAAGTTTTATTCTTCTTCTCTAAGTTTGGGGCAAGTACATTCACACTTCTTTTGCGCACCTCTGACACCTAGCTTCATGCTGAGCACGGCAAACATGTGATGACTGATAGATTCCTCTGACTTGGAAGTGTGTGCTCTGCTTGAGCAGGCTGTATGCAGTTCCTTCAAATAGCATAGGAAGAAAGAAGTCATGTAATTCTTCAAATATTATATATAATTTTCTTCATCAAAGTAGGCTCACAGGCATTCACTCATACTGTTTGTTCTATGGCTAAAGTCTCAAGGGAAGGATAATGTCTACAGCACAGAAAAAACATGAATGCACTTTTGAAAGTTTGAGAGTTTATATTCCAGCTAAATAAAAGTCGTTGACTGAAATGAATTTTTTGTTTGTTTGTTTTGCTCTCTGTACCTCAGTGACAATCAGTAAAAGATAATGTATTTGAATTTTTGTGATATTCAAAATTTACTCGTTTCTTATCTTCATCAGGGACCTGATCTCTTTTTTTCTCATGTTGGCTTTGGTAATTTTAGTATGCGTGCTGCCGAAGCGAGCACTGTTGCTTTGGTAATTAATGCAAAGGGCCGTCTCTGAGCTAAAAAAAAGTATCCTTTACAACAGAATTACAGATAGGATTGGAACTTAATGGTTGTCAAAATTAGCTCTTCAACAGAACATTAGCTTCTATAAAGTGTTTAACAGTGACGAATACACTCTATCAGGCTTTATACATTTTTTAACTATTATTTCAAAAAACAAACAAGTATTTGCTCAATTTCTGGAAATGTTTACAAGTCTATAACTTAGCTTCTAATATGATTGCCATGGAAGCCAGCACGGTTTTAGGTTAAGCCCATAATCCTACCTGCTAAACATACTAAATGTAGGTATGGCCTGCTTTAGGGAATCATGTAGCATACATATATATAACACAAAAAAGTTGAGAAGTAAATTTACTATAAGAATAATAATTCTCATGGCTAAGAAGATTTCCCACAGGATTCCTTAAAACTAGTTTCTCTAGTGCATTTAAGTGATTGTTTATATATAATTAATCGACATCGGTGTAATTGAAAATGTAGAGTGCAATTTTATTTTCTCACCTGAATTTACTGTTAGCTGTAGGTCAATAAGAAAAATAGGTGTAGATAAAGTAAATTAAAAAATATGTAAGAAAGTGAGGTCAATTGGAAAAAAGATAAATTTGCATTTAACTCTGAAGGAGTTATATAAAAATAGATAAATCTTTATCACAATAGAGGGCTTACAAGGATACTCTACGTAGGTTTCTAAGCTTTTAGCTGTTGAACCTTGAAAACATTTTACCACTTAAAATTCAACAGTCTAATTGTGAAGTTCCATTTTCATCATTGCAAATTCCCATCTAAGAGTTGACTTAGCCATTGGGTTACCTCAAAGATTACAGATAAACACAAATAGACTCTTCTGGGCTTAGTAGCACTTGCCTGAAATTTTTTCCTCCAAAAATAGAATATAACTCTACCTCTGTGGAAGTCCCCAGTCTCTGCCTCCAGGCTGGCCCCACACAATGGCTTCCATCTTTCTGGCTTTAAGACTTTTAATGGTTGGTTTCTCACAGCTTTCAGGATAAAGTTATAGCTCCTATGAGGGTTTATGCAGCCAACCCTGTTTGTCTTGAGTGTTTGTCTCAAGCAATCATTTCCCTTCTTAAGATTTGAAACACCCACAGTTTTTCCCAAAATGAGTCATGTTAAGCTATGTTATGCCTGGAAGGTCTTTCTTATTCTCTGTCTAGTTATGTCCTACTCATCCATCTGAATTGTAGTTATGGGTCTCCTTCTTTATGCCCCAATCTTATATAGATATACCCAAAGCAGGCTTTGAACACATATATTATTGTTATTAACACACTGATTTATAATCCTTGATTTATTTGTGGCTTTACTCTGATGGTTGCACAACTTTGGATCCCAGAAGCCTAGCACAGAATCTAGCATTATAGTAAAGTACTGAGTAAATGTATGTTCAATTTCAATAGGTAAGTGGAATTTTTCAGAAAGTTGATTTGAACAGCGTATCATTACTTTAAAAAACCTGGATTTTTAATGAAATGTTAACCAACTTAAAAATAACCTTAAGGTAATGAGATGAGGAGTTAAAGAGGCTAATTTTATTGAGTTGATTCTTTGAACCAGGCATTGTGCTAAGTACTTTTACATTTCATTTAAATATCACCATCAGACACATAACATCTATATTACTTTTCATATTTCATGTTTAAAATGAACTAAGTATTTATTGAGTTATTCATATGTGCCAGTAACTTTGTTTGGGTGATTCACATCACATCATTTAATTTTCACAATATTTCTTTTTTTTTTTTTAAAAGATTTTATTTATTTATTTGAGAGAGAATGAGAGGGAGAGAGCACATGAGAGGTGGGAGGGTCAGAGGGAGAAGCAGACCCCCTGCTGAGCAAGGAGCCCGATATGGGACTCGATCCCGGGACTCCAGGATCATGACCTGAGCCGAAGGCAGTCGCTTAACCAACTGAGCCACCCAGGCGCCCCTAATTTTCACAATATTTCAAGAGAAGCATTACAATTTCACTTACAAACAAGAAAATTAGCACTCAGACTTGACAAGGTCAGACAGTTGGTAAACAATGAAGCTGGGATTTTCACTCACAGTGATCTGGTACTCTAGGCAGTGTTTGCTTCATGGAAACATCACATCACCCAAACTGTTTTCCAGAGGTCCATGAAGATATTAATAGGTAGTTCACTTCCCCAAAGGTTTTATGGTTACATAAGTTTAAATTACTTTTTCCTTTTTAAAACATAACCTCTTTTTAGTTGTACATCACAGCTCTGAAACCATCAGGAGAATTGCTTAACTGTCTAACCAAGTGTTTTCCAGTTTTCAGAAACCATCTCCTTTTTATTTTTTTTTACAAACCACTAAAGTTCTAACCCAGGACTGCCTTCAGTTAAAGTTATATCAAAATGCAATAAAAGGTGTTCTTTTTTGACCCAATTCTCTCTTGAATTCCATTTTTTTAATTTATTTACTTGAGAGAGAGAGAGAGCACAAGCAGGGGAAGCAGCAGGCAGAGGGAGAGGGTGAGGGAGAAGCAGGCTCCCAGATGAGCAGGGAGCCTGATGTGGGGCTCGATCCCAGGACCCTGGGATCATGTCCTGAGCCGAAGGCAGACACTTAACTGACTGAACCACCCAGGCACCACTTGAATTCCATTTTTGATGGGAAGAGTAAAAATTCTAAGTTTCTTTTCCTTTCATGTCCCCCATATTTTCAACTGATCCTAGAAAAAAGTGTAATCAAGAAAAATTGTGGTCTGATTCTTGAGAACTAATTATATTCAAAATTAAGAGTAAGAGTACTTTGATTTTCTGATTTACTCATCAACACCCAAAGTATTTGTTGAATGAACTGTCAGAAGCCTGTGCTATGCACTATGCAAAAAAAATTATGGCAGCCGTAATTTCTGCCCTTTTAGAAGCACTGGCATTCAGAGCAGTTAGAAAGTTCAATAATCCTCAAACAAGCAGTGCCTATGTTTAAAATGTATGCTCACATTCCAGTTTTGATGCATATGTAAATCTGGGACTATGCGGTGACACAAGGGTAAATCCACACAAATCATTGTTTGGTTCTAGTTTATGTCATCCATTGTCTCCCACCTACCCATAATTCCGAGTTCCTCACTGTCTTAACTCTCAAAATGAAGACACAGTTCACAGACAATAGAAATATTTAAACAATGCAAAGTATTTACATCTCTCACATAGCTCTAAAAAAATACTCAACTATTCACTAAGCACATAAAAATAAATATTGGAGAGTGGTTAAAAAATCTTTACAATTTACAGTAACTGCTCATTAGCTTATATTTCTTTTTTGTAAGAGTCTAATATAGAAAAGCTTTTTAAAAATAGTCTTAATCCAAGTTGAGGAAAATTTCAAGTCAAGAAAAATAAATATTATTCACAAATATTACCCTGGCCTGAGGAATCAGTTTATTCTTAAAGAAAAACTCCACTCAATGCATGATCTACTTCTAGAATTTAAAAAAAGATAATCTAAAGAACTTTTAATATATGAATACATTCCAGTACTGTTCATAAAAAATCATCGAATTTTATGAAGCATAACATGGTCTTTTTACATATCTTTAATTTCTTATGATTAAAATATGAAACCATATCCCAGCCCTATCCCTGAACTGTCAGATAAAGTTTGTTTTTCATAGCATTTACAACACCTACCATATCCATGAATGTCGCCGGGGAAGAAGCAAATCACTAACATGCAACATCCTGAGGAACTGGTGCTCTATCAATATCCCACCACTCGGGAACTTAGTTTATTTTCATTAATTTCCTTGTGTTCTTGCTGCCACATAGTTATTGCTTAGCTCCTTGTCCTTTGATTTTTCTTTCCGAAGGCATGCCACTTCCCACTGCAGAGTAGATATCATTTTCAGTACGAATACAAATGACTTAGCAATCAACATGTAAGCATTCAACTGGAACATCATCAGTAGTTTCCTTTAGATATCAAATGAGAAAATCGATTTGCAGTCAAATCTGAACAATAGCTCCCATGGTGTGTGTAGCATTTCTTCCAATTTACCTCAGAAAAGGGAAGAATTTGAGTTTCCAAAATTGTTGAAAAATCTCCCTTTAAAAGTATTCTCTGTTTTCTCTCTCATTTTGCATTTTCTCCTCCATGTCTGGTGATATGACAACATGTTTTCGGGTTTTCTGTTAACTGAAATAGTGATCAGATTAACCAAATAAAATTCTCTCTCCTTCTACCTTTTGTATCGTGTTTGGAGCTATCAAACCTCTTGTC